GGTTTAACGTCTCATCCGAAAGACGGTGCTCACTGAGCAGGATAGAGTCTCCATCAATATACCGTGGTGTTAGGGCTGCAGGTTGAGCGCCCCTGCTGGTCTCACTAACACCACTTCCGGTGTTCTGACGATCTGTGCTACCGGTAGCTTAATCTGTCATGTTTCATCTATCAAAACATTGTAAGCACATCTTGTCAGCTTCAAATGTTTATCAGAATGAACTACTACTCTATTGAACAACGTAGAAAAAGGCGTAGCAGCTTCAAATGTCTATCAAAGTGAACTACTGCCTTCATTTGTATTTTTTACTTGTTTATTATAGTAGTAGCTGGTAATTGAAGCTAACAAAATGCGCTACCTCTGTTTTTACACCCTTATTTAAGAAGGTAATGCAATCTGATAGACATCTGAAGCTGACAAGATGTGCTAACCTTGTTTTTTTTTTTTTTTTTTTTTAGATGAAATATGACAGATTAAGAACATTCTGATGAGTTAAGACAGATTGTAAGAATACCGGCAGCAACCAAGCTTTACCATGTGATCTCTCATCCAGGTACTAACCGCACACACTGCTTAGCTTTAGTAGGCGACCATGTGAGATTTGCAGAGAGCTATATAGATTTAATATATTATTAATAGTAATAATAATATATTATTATTATACACTATTAAAAGTGTTGGGCAAGCTATTTGAAAAATGTAGTGAGCTGCTAAGCTATTAGCTACTCTACTTAAAATGTAGCTTAACTACACTAAAGCTACCCCCTGGGAAATGTAGCCAGCTAAGCTAAAAGCTACATGGCAAAAGTAGCAACATCTAAGCTAATTTTACAATTTTCATTTTTAAATCGAAGCACCTTAAATCCAATGACCAAATACTTCAGTTTAATTATTTACTGTAAATAATATGCTGTACTAAACAGAAACACATTATAGTATATAACAGCTAAAACAAAAACTCCAATAAAACTAGGTGTTACACAATTAAAACACTATAGTAATTTATAGTAAAGGGAAATATTTTGGAATAAGCATTATATTGAATGTGTGTGTGTGTATATATATATATATATATATATATATATATATATATATATATATATATATATATACATTTTTTTTTTTTTTTTTTTAAGTATTTTTGAGCACAGCATCAGAAATTAAGTTATGCATCTGATCATGTACTTCTCGAAGTATGGTCCAAGTATGGTCGAAGTATGGAGGAATTCTGCTTCAGAAATAACCCCTCTCCCTCAGTCATCTTTTCATCAAGCAAGTTTCGTTTGGCGACCAAAAACTTTGTTGTCGAGCACCGCAAAACAGGAGGAAGAAGAATTCGTCATTCTCGCCATCATATGGATTTACTTTTATCGGCTAGGCACTGGCCTCACAGCTCCATGAATGTCGGTGCCATTACTTATTGATCCGCGATCGGTAAATGTAGCTTGTGTGGATGCTACTGTGCTACTGGACTAAGAAATAGCTTCGCTACTGTAAAGCTATTTGATTTAGAAAGTAGCGACGCTACTGCCACACTACTGAGAAACGTAGTTAAGCTAGTAGAGACACTACTTGTAGCGACGCTACAGCCCAACACTGACTATTAATATATGAATAGTTCAAATGGAAAATACCCTAAATGTCGTCTGAAATGTTCTTAAAAATCTGTATTTTTAATGGCTCCTGTGTATAGGTTAAATTATTTTACGTTTCTGACAACAAATGGTATATTTTCATTGCCTTTAAATAAAAAATAAAAAAACTGAACAAAAACATAGGAGCATGCGAAAATGCTCATCTTTGAATGAAAGTATCAGAAACTCCCATGAGTGCAGCAATTTTTCCGGTTTCGTATCTGTATGACAGACAAATCTGCACCACAATAACTTCATTAGACAACTTATATTATTCATTCATTCATTTTCCCTCGGCTTAGTCCCTTTATTCATCGCAGTGGAATGAACCGCTAACTTATTAAGCATATGTTTTACACAGCGGATCCCCTTCCAGCTGCAACCCAGTACTGGGAAATATCTACACACTCTAATTCACACACATACACTTCGGCCAATTTAGTTTATTCAATTCACTTACAGCGCATGTGTTTGGACTGTGGGGGAAACCAGAGCACCCGGAGGAAACCCACGCCAACATGGAGAGGACATGCAAACTCCACATAGAAATGCCAGCAGACCTAGCTGGGACTCAAACCAGCGACCTTCTTGCTGTGAAGCGACAGTGCTAACCACCGTGTCGCTCCAATTTAAATAAGAACACCCTAATATGCAATTCAAATGCATAAATCTTAAATAAAGGCCTGTTTTTCTTGTGTGAACTCCTCCTTGGTTGTGTTTTCAGCATGGCACAGAACTGAGAACTCGCACTCATTTGAATTGACCTTGACCTCTAATCGACCCCTGACCTTTAACCCTGGAGTGATTGGACTGAGCACAGCGAACACCTAAACAACCATCTAGCTACATTTTTTAGGTGTGCGTATTTTGAAGTGTTGCCTTGGTGCACAAATATGCATTCGTCCTCCATCACACCAGAGATAAAGGTCACCGGTAGAGTGAGGGGAAACACATTGAAAACACAATAAGCGACGTCACATCACAACAAACACAACAGACACACACACACACACACTCGCGCGCGCTGCGAGGAGGAGGAGGAGGACGGGGGAGACAGTAGAACAGTGAGAGAATATATGAAGAAGCCAACATACAAACGCGGGATATGACACAACCTGAAGAAAAAGACAATACAGAGCTTGTGAGATCCCACTGAAAACACACACACACACACACACACACACTGCAGCAAGTGCAGTTCCAGATGTAATTGCAGTGGATCTCTTTTGACAGTGAAAACAATCTTTGTTACACAACTCTACAGTGCCATACACATGTTTTTCTTATTACAGGTTATGAGGTTAGTGTAACAGGTCTGAATACGCCAGAGTAAAGGTTGGGTTTCTGCACTCTTCATGTCGTAAATGATGAGACTGTATAAACACTTTAAAGGAATTTTAAGCATTCAAGGTTATTTTCAACCTAGTATTTTTGATGATTTCACAGTGGGGGTGCACTGAAATGAAAATTTTGAATCCAGAAATTCTGGATGCACTTATTGGCCAAAGGTCAGAACAGAAAATGCTTTGCAATAAATTATTTATTATTTTTGTTGAAGCCATTTATGGGTTGCAATTTTCTTTCGCGCCACTAGAGGGTGTATATGGAATTTATGCCCTCCTCACGACGAGCTGAGAGGTGTAGAAGAAGGTCAAACAAACGTTTTGACCGTCATGGCTGTGAGAACGGGTTTATATTTGTTTTGATCTTTACTTATTTAATTTTGACAAAATGGACAATAAATGAATTGGAATATCCAACTTTATTTGCAAAAGGTATGGACATTTCACTTAATTATTGACCCGTTCAAGCAACAAACGCGTCAGAACAAACGTCCGAAATATATGCATCTACAATTTTCATAAAAGTAATTTAGTAATGCGGCTGGAAAGGCATCCGCCACATATAACATATGCCAGAGTAATTGGTAGTTCATTCTGCTGTGGCAATCCCTGATAAATCAGGGACTATGCCAAAAAAAAAAAAAAAAAAAGAGTTCACACTTAGATGATGATTGATTATAAAGCTTGTTTGGCATGCTGTCCCGGGAGAGAGCCCTGAGCTCATAAGATCCTCGAGCCCGGGGCTCCCTCCCGTTTGCAAGGCGAGAGGGGAGTTTAAGCTCAGGTAGATCTCGAGAACTCCCCTGTTGTAGTAGCTAATGAACAGATAGTGATTGCTCTTAAGAGATAGCTACCTACTTGGAACATGTCTATGGTGCTGATTTGATTAGTCAATTACTGAAGTTGCATGTTTTTGGATGGTGGTAGGAAACCGGAACCAGGGGGAAACCCACATGACCACGGGGAGAACGTGTAAACTCCGCAGAGAAATGTCGGCTGGCTTGGTATAGACTAGAACCAGTGACGTTTTTGCTGTGAGGCAACAGCGCTAACCACCGGGCCACCGTGCCACCCATCTAGGAAAGGAGGAGGAGTAGGGGTGGAAGGGGGGGATTCCTCAAAACGAAGACGGCTGTTATATGGAACTGAGGTTATTTATAGTGGCTCAGGAATCGTCTGATCATAAACTGAATAATGCGGGACCGGCTGCGAGCACTCATAAGCATGTGATCCTCTCGAAATTAGTTTATAAATAAACTTCAGCAAGTGAGTGAATAGCCGTCAAAAACAAAAACTCATAAATGCAAGCCAATAAAATTTGACCACATTTTAATGATTATAGCAAGTCGAGGGGTGCTTGTTACCAGTGTTGCCATGACAGCACAATAGCGCTAATGCAAGCAGCAGGAACAATTATACTACACACAAATGTCCTTTCAGCATGTTTTTTTTACACGTTATGACAACCCTGTGTAGTAATTTGTTTTACATTTTTAAAAAATATTTTAGTGTACAACCCTGTCTGTTATAGACTCACATTGACATTATAAAACTTTTCATGGCTCATGAATATTAATTAGGAGGTAAAAGCTAAGATAAACTGATTAGACGAAAGCCAAATAAGTGCACTGTAAAAACCCAGCAGTCAACTTTGTCAAATGAAATGATTGTAGCTGACTCAAAATTGACTGAAAGTTAATTCTACTCATTTGAAAAGACTTAAATGGTTTGTTGCAATCTGTTTCCTCAAATGGTTTTAGTTGCCTTAACTTATTGGGTTTTACAGTACTGAGTTGGTTTGAGTTCTCTTCATTTATTGGGTTTTACAGTACTGAGTTGGTTTGAGTTCTCTTCATTAATTGGGTTTTACAGTACTGAGTTGGTTTGAGTTCTCTTCATTTATTGGGTTTTACTGTACTGAGTTGGTTTGAGTTCGCTTCATTAATTGGGTTTTACTGTACTGAGTTGGTTTGAGTTCTCTTCATTTATTGGGTTTTACTGTACTGAGTTGGTTTGAGTTCTGTTCATTTATTGGGTTTTACAGTACTGAGTTGGTTTGAGTTCTCTTCATTTATTGGGTTTTACTGTACTGAGTTGGTTTGAGTTCTCTTCATTTATTGGGTTTTACAGTACTGAGTTGGTTTGAGTTCTCTTCATTTATTGGGTTTTACTGTACTGAGTTGGTTTGAGTTCTCTTCATTTATTGGGTTTTACTGTACTGAGTTGGTTTGAGTTCTCTTCATTTATTGGGTTTTACTGTACTGAGTTGGTTTGAGTTCGCTTCATTTATTGGGTTTTACTGTACTGAGTTGGTTTGAGTTCTCTTCATTTATTGGGTTTTACTGTACTGAGTTGGTTTGAGTTCTCTTCATTTATTGGGTTTTACTGTACTGAGTTGGTTTGAGTTCTCTTCATTTATTGGGTTTTACTGTACTGAGTTGGTTTGAGTTCTCTTCATTTATTGGGTTTTACTGTACTGAGTTGGTTTGAGTTCTCTTCATTTATTGGGTTTTACAGTACTGAGTTGGTTTGAGTTCTCTTCATTTATTGGGTTTTACTGTACTGAGTTGGTTTGAGTTCTCTTCATTTATTGGGTTTTACTGTACTGAGTTGGTTTGAGTTCTCTTCATTTATTGGGTTTTACGTTGCTCAAATTGCTTTGTTTACTCAAATGGAGTAGGTTCACAGTACTCATTAGGATTAGTCTTTGAACTTAAATGGTTTGTTGGAATCTGTTTCTTTAAATGGTTTGAGTTGCCTTAACTTATTGGGTTTTACAGTACTGAGTTGATTCGAGCTCTCTTGATTTATTGGGTTTTACTGTGCTCAAATTGCTTTGTTTACTCAAATGGATTAAGTTCACAGCACTCATTAGGATTAGTTTTTGGACTGAAATGGTTTGTTGCAATCGGTTTCCTGAGTTCCCTTAAATTTTTGGGTTTTACAGTGTGGGTTCCAGCCAAATTAGCATTAATTTTATGTTTGTACAGATAAAAGTTGATGCAACTGCACTGTAAAAAAAGTTGACTCAACTCAAAATTGTAACGCAACTTGCTGCTGAGCTTTTTTGAGTTGACTCAATTTTCAACCCAAGTACTGCACTCCTGACTCGATTTAAGTAAAATGTCCTGTTTGTTGCTTTAAAATTTTAAGTTGGATCACTTTACAGTGTGGTTGCCAGAGTTGTATTTAAAATAAATAAATAAATATATTTACTGAAAGGTTGAAAATAGCCTGGAATAATTCAATTCATGACTACATTGTTAACGATTTTTGTAAATGACACAGTATTTGACTGTAATATGAACTGTATTTTACTGTAGGACAGTTATGCAGTATGTTACTGTATTTTAAAAGCTGCATTGTGAAAATCAGTCTATATTTCACAGTAAAGACAAACAATACTGTACATACACAAACAGCTCGATAAATGGTGCTGTGAATGTAAATACAGTATTTTGCTGTAATTGATTCACAGTAAGTTACTGCAGATTCTACAGGAAATTGTTAACCGTGTAGCCTAGTGTCCTTTTCACAAACCAGTGCACTTCACGGTGACATTTATGCCATGTCACTGTATTTGTGCTGAGTTTCTACAAGTCTCCTGTTAAACTGGCTGATAAATTTACCCCCTATACACATCTATGTTTGTCATTGACTGTCCAGAGCGGGACGATCAGCATTTTAAGAGTTGACCAAGCTGCACAAACATCTGTCAAAGAGTGTGTGAAACCCAACCTTCAACTCATATTCAGTACAAAGATACAACATTAGATTCATTTCCTTTAACAGGTGAAACTAATGGCCGCTTGTTACAGTAGGACAACACTACAACATCAACCAACACGAAAAAAATCACACAAATCAACAACAACACTCCCATGCAGGTGTAAATGTGTGTGTGTGTGTGTGTGTGAGTTCAGTCCTAAATAGCTTATTCTAACGCTATGTGCGTGTTTTGGTGTGTTTCTGTTTCCTGTGGTTGGCTTTTATCTCTTTTAACTTTAGTTTGATCTCTGCTAGAGTTTGATTTACAACAGATTAAACCTGAAAAGGAGGGATTGTAAGATAAATGGAGTTGGATTGTGTTGAAGGAAGGGTGACAAGGGATATACTGGGTTTGGAAAGTTGTGTGTGCACGGATTGAACAATGTTTCTTTCCTTTGTTGTGTCTTTTTTATGAGGATGAGATGTGGAGAGGAGATCTGTGTGTCACAAAGGTTTGTCGATGAAAATGATAACAAATGCAATGCAAAATGAAATTAAAGATATATAGAAAGTGCAAATAGGAGTGTGATTTTAAGGAAAGAAACCTATGAGGAATTTGAGTATATTTAAAGAAAATCTGACATGTAAAGAGCCGTAAAATTTAATAAAATAGAGAGGTAAACAAAAGCAGAAGAGGCAAAAAGCTCAAAAGAGATTTATTTCATAGATCAGTGTGTTTAAAGGATGTTTTCACACTTAAAATGCTAGATTACGTCAAATAAAGTCTTGTGAAGTTAGTTTAAACTAAAATCAGTGATTTTAAAATGCATTAAAACAGCATGAATATCAGAAATTATGGAGCTAATGTTTAATTTGCAGTAGAAAAAAAAGCCCCAAAAATTGTACTTGTAAAGTAATCATGTCTCAAATAAAAAAATTATTTAAATAAAAAAAAAAAATCTAGCCACACAAGAAGATTTTGTTTCTGCTTTCTGTATAAGCAAACTCAATTTTGAATCATTTAATGAAAACATGATGTTACTGAATCTAAAACTACCTAACCATAACCAGAACATACATATTCATTCATTCATTGTCTTATCAGCTTAGTCTCTTTATTAATCACCACAGATGAATGAATCACCAACTTATCCAGCATATGTTTTACACAGCGGATGCCCTTCCAGCTGCAACCCATCACTGGGAAACATTCATACACACTCATTCACACACATACACTACAGACAATTTAGCTGACCCAATTCACCTACAGCGCATGTCTTTGGAATTGAAACCGGAGCACACAAAGGAAACCCACTCGAACACGAAGAGAACATGCAAACTCCACACAGAAATGCCTACTGACCCAGCCGAGGCTTGAATCAGTGACCTTCTTGCTGTGAGGCCCACTGCGCCACCATGCAGCCCCATAAATATATATAATATATTTATTTAGATTATTAGTTGAAAACAAAAATATCCTGTGAAAGTTAAAAACAATTGTTCAAATATTTCCAAAGCGATGTTCACCAGAACGAGGGCATTTTTCCGAAGTTCATCTTATATTTCTTCTTCAGGAGAAAGTCTCATTTCTTTTAGTTTGGCTGGAATATAAATAAATAAAAACTGCTAATGTCATTATTATTAGCATCCTTAAGAAATTATTATTTTTGATTGGCTAACGGACAAACCACTGTTATCCAATGACTTGCCTTAATTATCTAACTTGCTTAATTATCCTAAATAACCCAATTTTTAAATGTCACTTTAAGCTGAATACTAGTGTCTTGCAAAAGAACCAGTAAAATATTGTGTACCGTCCTCATGGCAAACACTAAATAAATGATGCATTAGAAATTAGTTATTAAAACTATTATGTTTAAAAAGAAATCTTCTCTACATTAAACAGCACTTTGGAAATATTAGAAAAATAATAAAAAATTCACAGGAGGGCTAACAATTATGTCTTCAACTGTACAATATACTCATGCAGGGCAATGTATTCATTTATTCATTCATTCATTCATTTTCTTTTCAGCTTAGTCCCTTTATTAATCAGGAGTTGCCACAGAGGAATGAACCACCAACTTATCCAGCATATGTTTTACACAGTGGATGCCCTTCCAGCTGCAACCCATGGGAAACAGCCATACACACTCACTCACACACACACACACACACTACAGACAATTTAGCTTACCCAATTCACCTATACCCCAAGTCTTTGGACTTGAAACCGGAGCACACAGAGGAAACCCACGCAAACGAGGAGAATATGCAAACTCCACATAGAAATGCCTACTGACTCAGCCGAGGCTTGAACCAGTGACCTTCTTGCTGTGAGGTGTGAGGCGATTGTGCTACCCCCTGCGCCACCGTGACACTTATATCCTACAATATAAAGTTCTTTTATTGCTTGGTTCTAAACTGCAAAATGCAACATGAAGATATTCAGATATCCTAAACACCAGGACTTTCACTAAAGCTGCTATAAAAAAATCAAATGGACTTGCCATGTAAGCCGAACCTGCAAATGTTCTCTGAAGCCAGCCAAGTGTGAAAACAGCCTGAGATGTTTGGTGGTTATGTAATCTGTATTTCTGGATGCAGAGATGGACACGAGGATGTGAGATGGCCATGTAGATTTTGGGTAGGTTGTTTAGTGACGCTTGTGTGCGAAAACTAAGGAATCTTTAAAGAAACACTCTGCTTTTGTTTATTGGAAATAGGCTCTTTTAGAACTCCCCAAGAGTTAAACAGATGAGTTTTCCCATTTTTGAATCCATTCAGGCAATCTCCTGGTCTGGCGGGAGCACTTTTAGCTTAGCTTAGCATAGATCATTGAATCGGATTAGACCATTAGCAACTCACTCAAAAAAACAAAAAAAGAGTTTAGATAACTTTCTTATTACCTGTTAGCCAGCACTCAAATTGGGGATTTAAATTATATATCATTGGAAAGAATAAACTTTGAGCTTTACTGTGGTAAAAGGGTAAGTTACATGTTAAAAACATAAAAAGTCATACATTATGAAGTCATGAGCAAAAATAAATTGTATTGTGTTCAATATTGGTTTTCCATATACATTCATTCATTCATTCATTTTCTTGTCGGCTTAGTCCCTTTATTAATCTGGGGTCGCCACAGCGGAATGAACCGCCAACTTATCCAGCAAGTTTTTTACGCAGCGGATGCCCATCCAGCCGCAACCCATCTCTGGGAAACATCCACACACACACTCATACACTATGGACAATTTAGCCTACCCTATTCACCTGTACCGCATGTCTTTGGACTGTGGGGGAAACCGGAGCACAAGGAGGAAACCCACACAAAGGCAGGGAGAACATGCAAACTCCACACAGAAACGCCAACTGAACCGAGGTTCAAACCAGCGACCTTCTTGCTGTGAGGCGACAGCAGTACCTACTGCGCCACTGCCTTGCCCTTTCCATATACAAACATAGGAAAATATTAATGTACTGAATCATTATGACTTGAAAGCCAAGTGTCTCATGAGTTTATATTTCAAATTTGATGAAGATAGCATGCAAACTGAGATTTCTGCAAAAAGTTTTCCGAGGCTATATCGATGTCCTATATCGATGTCCGAGGCATTTTCTCAAAACTGACCTTCCCAAACTAAAACATTTACAGTTGCTGAATAATTTGGTCTACATTCACAGTTCATGTATCTTTGGAAAGAAGACACACTGTGTGCTGCGTCGTGCTGCTGGCTTAAGCTGGATTTATACTTTCGCCTGGCGCCACATCGCGCATCTCCGCTGACGACACGCGCACCTCGCGAAACAGACGAGGCTTTCATACTTACTGTGTTTGCCGTTGTGATATTCTTTTAAACGACAGGGGGCGGTCAAAGGAAACCGATTCATTCAATATTTTTAAACTAATTATTTTTATTGTTTTTATAAATTATTTTAATGATTATAAAGATTTTTATAACTATTTAAGATTTTTTAAATCAAACTTTAATGCATTATTTGCTTTTGTTCATATCTCGGACAGTTCTACCTAATACAATTGATTAAAATATTAATGACAACAGAACATGGATTGCTCTACATGTATATATATATATATATATATATATATATATATATATATATATATATATATATATATATATATATATATATATATATTTTTTTTTTATATATATATATATATATATATATATATATAAAAAAAAAAAAAAAAAAAAAAAAAAAAGAGTGAAAGATAGAGAGATATATATATATATATATATATATATATATATATATATATAA